CGATACCGATATAAATCCGATATAGCATATTTTATAATCAATAAAACATTTTTTTAAATATCTTGCTGCATTTTGTATAAGTTCATACTCAAGTTTATAAAAAAACAAAACTAAAGCTATTCTGTTATACCTATATGCAAAAAATACACTGCACCCAAAATATTTCATAGTTCAGCAATACTGATCAGTCTAATAAACTTAAACCTACACCATTCTCCCTATTCTGGTATTTTAAAGAGTACTTAGTGGAAATATTAAGCAACCTAACTACACTGAACAAAAATATAAACGCAAAACTTTTGTTTTTGGTCCCATTTTTCATGAGATGAACTCAAACATCTGAAAAATTTTCTACATACACAAAAGACCCATGACTCTCAAATATTGTTCTCAAATCTGTCTACATCTGTGTTAGTGAGCACTTCTCCTTTGGTGAGATAATCCATCCCACCTCACAGGTGTGGCATATCAAGGGGCTGATTAGACAGCATGAATATTGTACAGGTGTGCCTTAGGCTACATTCACACTGCAGGTCTTAATGCTCAATTCCGATTTTTTTGATCAAATCCGATTTTTTTGTATGCTTGTTCACACTACAAATAAAATGCGACAGCAATAATGTGAACGCTCAAAGCGGCCCGCATGTGCAAAAGAAGATGTCACACACAACGCGCTCTGCACACCCAGAGCAAACAGTATCGTTTGACTGATGGCCCTTAATATAAAGTCTTCGGACTTTACGTTTCCCAATTTTTGCATTGCAATTGGCATGCTGACTGCAGGAATGTCTACCGGAGCTGTTGCCTGTGAAATGAATGTTCATTTCTCTACCATAAGCCGTCTCCAAAGGTGTTTCAGAGAATTTGGCAGTACATCCAACCGGCCTCACGACTGCAGACCACATGTAACCACACCAGCCCAGGACCTTCACATCCAGCATGTTCACCTCCAGGATCGCCTGAGACCAGCCACCCAGACAGCTGCAGCAATAATCGGTTGGCATAACCAAAGAATTTCAGCACAAAGTGTCAGAAACTGTCTCAGGGAAGCTCATCTGCATGCTCGTCGCCCTCATCGGGGTCTGGACCTGACTGCAGTTCGTTGTTGTAACTGACTTGAGTGGGCAAACGCTCACATTCGATGGCGTTTGGCACATTGAAGAGGCGTTCTGTTCACAGTCCCAGTTTTCACCGTTTAGGGCAGATGGCAGACAGCGTGTGTAGCGTCGTGTGGGTGAGCGGTTTGCTGATGTCAACGTTGTGGATCGAGTGGCCCATGGTGGCGGTGGGGTTCTGGTATGGGCAGGCGTATGTTATGGACAACGAACACAAGTGCATTTTATTGATGGCATTTTGAATGCACAGAGGTACTGTGATGAGATCCTGAGGCCCATTGTTGTGCCATTCATCCACAACCATCACCTCATGTTGCAGCATGATAATGCACAGCCCCATATTGCAAGGATCAGTACACAATTCCTGGAAGCGGAAAACATCCCAGTTCTTGCGTGGCCAGCATACTCACCAGACATGTCACCCATTAAGCATGTTTGGGATGCTCTGGATTGGCATATACGACAGCATGTTCCAGTTCCTGCCAATAGTCAGCAACTTCTCACAGCTACTGAAGAGGAGTGGACCAACATTCCACAGGCCACTTCCCTGTCAATGCCCTACCTGGCCCCCTGGAAAAACATTGCTAGACCCGCCCCTGGACAGTTACCAGCCGTCAGCTACTTAGAAAACGATCCTGGTGTAGAAAGTACTATTAAATAAATTCTAACACCAGCTTATCAAGTTTAAACGTGCTGCTGTTGTTTATCCGCTGGTTTCCTCTTTCTGGTGCAAAGTGGGCGATAAACAAACAAGAGAGACGGGAGTCGCGACAGAAAAGCCGATCAGCCGATCATTGATCAATTTCATGATTGAAGTAGCAACAGGAGGGGGAGAGAGGCAGTCGAACCTCCCCCACCCTCATTCAGATCTGGCGTTTGGAACTATCTTGGTTTTCGTGTGAAGTATGACCCTGATGGTAAGCGCGTCATGGACAAAAGTAAAACAGTATGTCGGATGTGCCACGCAATGCTCAATTGGTGGGAACTAGTGCGTTAGCGCAGTTAGCTTGTCAACTTGTTGACACTGTCCAGCCCCACGCACGGGGCGATCCGCGGTAACTTGACAACGGAGATTTGCGGCGTTATGGCGTTAATGTCATTTTAACGAAATTAACGCTGACAGCACACAATGAATATGACTGCACATTTACCCGGACATCATCCTAGTGCAAAGACAAGTGGAAGCAGACAAAAACAACAAGCACGCATGCTCCAAACTTTACCCAAGTCATTTAGACAGCCGTTAGCACATGATTCTCCTTATGGGGACCTGATATGTTTAATATGCTGCTGAGAATATAGCCCAGAAGATGCGTATAGTATAGCTTTTATTTTGGAAAGAGACATTTCTCTGTAATAAACTCTCTTTTCCAAAGATGAGTGATTTCTCGATCAGATAGATTTTATTTTATTATTATTTTGTTGTTTCAGCAACATTAAATTTAAAAACTGTTCTTTGAGTTAAAATATATATTTATAATTTTAATAAGTGACAAATTAAAAAGGCATGAACATTTTTTTGTATCAAAACCGTGACACCAAAGTATTGAACCGAACCATGAATTTTGTGTATGTTGCACCCCTAGTGTTTATATAACTATTTTATTTTTTACCCCTGTTTATTTGTATTTATGTTCTATTCTCTTGTATACTTCATCTGCTTGTATGTTTTATACTCATTGTTTGTTCAATAAAGTTCTTGTTTGAATAAAACGTATCCTGTATTGCAATATTTTGGAATAAAAGGTTTTAAAAATATAGAATCTACTTAAAATAGATAAGAACAATCGACTTTGAGAGTGAAAATTAAATTGGATTTTTGTTACTATTGATGCTGCTGAGAAATAGTGTTTTTCAATCCTGTTTTTTTAAAAAAAATCACTATCCCTTCAGCTTTTTTGTGGCAAAAAGTGTCAGTTTCTGCATAACAGGGGCGCTGGAGCCTATCCCAGCTGTCATTAACATCACATTGATTATTATGCATTGTTATTTTTGTGCAAGGAGAGCAAAATAGACAAAACTCCCTCTCAGCTTGTTTGTTGCCAAAAATGGCCACCTTTTGGTTACGTTCACAAAATGCTATAAAATTTATATATATTAAAACATTTTTCTACTTTGACCAACTTGAGTCTTTAAATTAGCACCAGTCCTTGTCACCAAAACCAGACGTTTATCTAAATTCATTTTTTATCCTTTAAATACCAGGGAGATTATATATTACCAGTAACCTTTTGGAAAAAAGGGGATAAAGGTCTAATTTTTTTCACCATATAATTGATGAAACTTTATATGTTTTTTCAGTTGAGCATCAGGGACAAGGCTGTCTTGCAATTGTTGAGGTCACTAGTGTACGCCCCATTTCTTCCAGGATTACTCTTCATTTGTAGGTTTTAGAGGACCATGAAGTGGTTTTCATGGGACAAAGGCATTGTATTCCAAGACATCTGGGAGATTGTAGAAATGAGCAGCAATGCCCTTCTTGCCATCTTTCTAGAAAAATAAGTGATCTGGAAGCTGTTAGGCTTACTTACAGCAGTAGCACTTTCTGCACCTGCATAAAGGACACATTTACTAGCAGTGTTTGTTGCTGTATGTGCTACAGCTGCAGCTTTGATTATTTTTTTTTTGAGAGTTAATATTTTGGCTATGGTATCTTGTTATGAAATGTACAAGAGTAAACGTGTTTTTAGCATGTGCTTCAAAAGCTAAGTTTGACTGGGAAACTCAAAGCTCAATAACCTGGATCAACAGAAATTCACTGCAGCCTGTGTAATATTTGATGCATCATAATATATTCCAGTGTATCTTGCAAATACATATTTGCATTGTAATGTCATGTACAAACACAAACTATTAGATCCTTAAGATCAAACCTGTGTCATTCTATTGGTCCACTGCGGTGTAGTAAGACATCAAAAGCCCCTATTTGAAACTAAGAATATTACATGAAATTGGTTGTTTGGCCAAAAATGGGTAAATGATGAAATTGCATGATTTAGCACTGTCAATAACAAGGAATTTTAAAATGTCCTAATAATGGGTTTCGGGTGGTGAAAAGTTTCCATGATCGAGGCAAGAGGAACAATGTTTAGTGTATATATTTTTGATGAATTTAAGAAGCTGCAAATTATTAAAGCTGAAAAAAATCTAGACCCTTTCATTACATTGGCATAACAAAAATGGTCAACAAAAAAGAGAGAAAGAAGTGGCCACAAATGGCCAGGATAGAGACCAGAGGGTTAATGCGTAAAATGTATAAAAATATTATTAATTACAGGGTAATACATTACTGTTAATAGCAAATGTAAGCTTTTTATTTTGAAGTTACAAGTATAAACAATGCTGTTACATTTACACTGTAATTGTTTTTACTATTGAACTATTGATTCTTAAATCAATGCAGTGAAATACATCAGCCCAATCATTGCAAACTTAGAAATCGGATGTCCTTGCAGAGCCATAACTCCATCTTCTACATCCGATTTCGACTGAAGCTGTGCAGAATGACTTTTGAGTTAGGTGTGGTTGGTGGCTATCTAACCTATCAGTTCTGTCTTCAAGGGAAGCATCTGGGCCAAAATATTGCTTGTACGTACTTAGTTATTACAAAGACGCGGACCGTATTCTGCCATTCAACTCTCTGATGTAATCACATTGAGTCTGCGTGAAATAAAATGTTAACATATGACTAGGTTTCCTTTATTTGTATTAAAATGAATATTAAGTGTGAGTAAATGTTTTTTATATAACAAATAACTCAGCAACTATCCGAGTACCCTTTTTTAAACATTATTTTTAGTATTTTAGCACAACGTCGCTAAACAATGACTTGCTTTAATCGTTTAAAAATCTCGGTAATTGTCTTTCATGGGTTGCCGTACTGTGCCCGCGGTGTACCAGCTGTTGCTATGCAACCATTAACGCGTCGTTTTGGTCTGCGACACGATGGCGGCAAGAAGTGCTGATAAAAAGGGCCAGCCCTTCATTTCGCAGGTTTGTAACATTACTTTTTCATGTTAATGTCTCTCAGACCATTAAGCTGAGCTTCGTAGTTGTGCCTAACCAAAATGTTTTACTAACTGAAGTAACTATGGCAACCGTTTCTGCTTCCGCCAACAGGAGCACTGACAAAGCAAAAAAAATAAAATAAAATAAAATCCACACGCACAAAAAATACACACAAAAAAACAAAACAAAAAACACCAAAACATAACATCACAGTCTCATTCTTACTGTTGCACATCAAAGTTACAAAAAAGAGCCTTATAATATGGCATAGCCATGTTCTAGTGAACTGGATAACCGCTGATAGTGATAATATAAAATAATGCAGCACTTATAAAAAGGAATTAGAACAGCTAAGTACAGAACAAAGCAGGTAAACTAGCAAAAACACGTACAAAAGGTGGAAAATAGTTAAATAGATAAAAGAATAAAAGAGCTTAACGAGTATAAATCTAACAAATAAATGCTGGTATTGTGGTATCAGGTGGAATGTGAAATTTTGGATGCTTGTTTGTGCCACTGAAAAAACAAAACATTATTTCAACTCACTAACTGAAACTTCTGAGAAAATAACTCAAAACTAAGAAAATAGCTTGAAATTTGAGTTATGTTAAAATAATAAGTCAAAGGAAAACCTTTTTTTCATAGCTGTTGATAACTCTCCTGTTATGTCATTTTTTGTTGATGTTTAGGTCAAGAAACGTCCATCCTCTACCAGTAAGGCTGAAAGGTCCAAAAGAGTTGAAATAAGGGCACAGTCAAAATCTGCTTCTGGTCAGGCAAAGAAGCATACAGATGAACTTTTAGCCAAAGAAGAAGAGTATAAGTAGGAGTTGTTCTCACACCTGCTTGCTTTATTTTTGTATATAGTAATTGCACTAACCCTTCTGATAATTTTAACATTGCATTTTAGTCTAAGTTGCTCATTTATGTCAGAATAAGTTATATGTGGACTATTTCTTGCACTTGTTTAATCAGTAGTTCTTTAGGGCACTGACCAGTACTGGTTACCTATAATAATAAAAAGTAACTCCAGATAGAGTGACCCACTTGTATCACCAACAATCCTGCAGCACTAAATTTCAACTTGTTGAAAGTTGTTTATATAAATCTGCTTATTCATTATTTTATTTCCAACAGACTCCTTAATGCAGAGCTGGAAGCCAAAACAGCAGATTTAGTTAGACAGGCTGAGCAACTTATGGTAAGTTATTAACAGGTTTGCATTCAATAATTGGAAGAAAAAAATTTGTGAGTGCAGTAGCACAAAAAAAGTCAGATGAAAGAAGTTAAGAAGGGAGCATGCTTACTTTAAAGTCAAAACTCTGTGTTTATTTTAGAGAGAACAAAGTGAAGTTCTTTCAAAGCCTTTATCCAATGTCCTGCTCACAGACACTGAAGAAGAAGAGACGTCCAGGTAAAAGGTTTGATTTCCTTATCTCCGATCATTCGGATATATCATTTTAGCAAAACCACCTTGAAAAGAAAGTTATTTTTTTTATATTCATGTACATTTGCATCTCTCTGTTTAACTTTTCACTTGCAGGATAACGAAGACTCACACATGTGCTGTGCAGCAGCCTGGTGTCAAGGTCTGTATCTCATGCATTTTGCTCAGCAGTTTGTATTATTGTTGTGGACGTTTTCAGCTCTGTTCAGTTTTATTTCCCATAGCAGAAGTTGAAAACAAGGTGTTTTATATTGGTATTTAAAGAAGAAAAAAGGCCCAGTACTATTAAAGAGAAACCCCATCAATCAGATGATCTCATATGACCAGTGTGGTACCTTTTACCACCTACTATGGTAAGGAAAAACTCCCTTTTAACAGGAATAGACCTCACAGAGGAGCAGCCAGTGGGGAGTGAAGAAAACTGCTCGGGCATCTTAGAAAACGCCCCTCAACCAAAGCTCTTAACAGCTTAGCATAGGGAGGCTTCAGGGTCACGTGAGCCAGCCGAATTAGCTTTATTCAAAAGTAAAGTTTTAAGGCTAATCTCAAAAGTAGAGGGACTGTCAGCTGGACTCAAACTGGGAGCTGGTTCCACAAGAGAGGGGCCTGATAACTAAAAGCTCTGCCTCCCATTCCCCTTTTTTTCTCTCTTTTCTTTTTTTTTATACCTTGGAAACAACAAGTAAGCAATCTGTGAGCGAAGTGTACGGTGGCCCTGAAAGGTCACACAGTAACTTCATGGATGAACAAGTAAAGAACAGCAGCAGAAGTGATAAGATAACAGTAAAAAGCTAACAGCAAACATCGATGGACAGCATTATATGAATCTTGTTTAAACCCCACGACACAAAACATAATCCTCCATTTCTTTGAAGTATCTCTCAGTGCAATCCTCCAGATGTTTTGGTTTCCAGCACTTCTGCAGCTGTTCCATTACTTTATCGTCTCTTCAGAAACACTTCTTTTGTGAATTTGCTTTTTTAGCTTTTGTGGCACATTTTTCTATTTGCTGGTGTTTTCTTAGGTTGCAGTGTTTTTGACCTCTCAGAGTCACCTTAGAAGTGTCCTGTTGGGGTAACAAGGGTAAGTTCTTTAAGGTCACTTCAGTATTTTTGTGTAATTCTTTTAGGAGGCGACCAAAAGAATTGTTGCATCAAGATCACAAAATATGCTGAGTGGAAAACAAGTGAAAGATCCCCACTTTAAAACTGGGTGAGTTTTATTTGTATATAATTTCTAAATCCATTTAAAGCCTTTCTGCTCATAAATCTTCTGTAAGATTTATTCTCCAGGAGGAATCACAGTTTACATTTTCACGAAATTGTGCTCGATTGTTTCAGGAGCTCAGAGGATGATCTTGAAACTGTAGAAGATTCTGCTAATTCATTCTTGGCAAAGACAATTCACAGCATGGAGGAGAAAATGAACAATGCTGTAGTTCATGAAAATGCTGTGGATGAAATACCTAACTTTGGAGACAATGTAGGATCAGGTAATGCTTATTTCACTTAAAAATAATAAACCACATTTTTATTCAGTGGGATCAATGACTAAATAACATGTATAGTTTTCCACGAATAGGCTTTTTTCTGTCAGATGATTTTTGCCCCTTAAGAACCCCAAATGAAGGCCAAACTGGAGCTTTGAGATTAATTAATTCATGTGATAAGTTTCATATGCTTATATAGATTTTTTCACAAGCATATAAATCTGATTGTTGTCTCTTAAGGAGTTTCAGAAGCTCAAATACGAGTCCTGAAGGCAAAACTCCGGATTATGCAAGAGGAACTGGACCAGATCTCATGTGAATATTACAAGAAGGTAATGTAAATATTTATATATATATATATATTTATATATAACTATAAACATAAATGTTGCTGCTGATGCCTTACATTAGAGAAAAAAAAGTTACTTTGGTAAAATACATAGGGTTATTTGTCCTGATCCTTAGATCGTTTAACACAGCATGGATGTATTATTGTATCTGGATTGTTTTTTCTACTGCTCAGACTGAAGTGTCTGAACTTATGTCTCTGCAGGACGATGAAAACACAAAGCTTAGCGCAAAGATTAAGGAGCTGGAGGAGGATCGAGCCCGGCTGCAGAAGACCGTGAGCATTCAGCAGACACAAATCGAGAAGCACCGAGCTTTAGCCGCAGAGTCCAACAAAAAATGTGATGGACTTCAACTGGAAGTGTCTGGTTTGAGCAAGGTGTGTGTCGCCAACAGCTCTGAGCAAATTACTACTGCAACAATTTCTTTAAAACAAGCAGTAAAACTGGACAGCGTAATTCATCTGAGCTGCTGTTGTGTGTCACCTGTTTTTGTGCTCTGTGTAGGAGATAGAAAATCTGAATAGATCACACAAACAAGCAGCAGCTGTCCACAGCACGGTGGAGGTCCGCCTGAACCGAGCTCTAGAGGAGGTGGAGAGGCTGAAGACTCAATTGAACAAAATGAAACAGGAGAAAAAGGTAACAGCATTAAAACAAAGATTCCTGTATAAACATGTCTGTGTTTGCTATGTTTGTCTTTATATCAGAAATATACACTAGTCAAAGAAATTAAAGGAATACTTCAGAGTACAGCATCAAGTCAGTTAAACGTGTGGGATATTGATATGGTCAGTTAAGTAGCAGAGGGGGTTGTTAATCAGTTTCAGCTGCTTTGGTGTTAATAAAATTAACAGCAGATGCACAAGAAAGGGAACAATGAGACAACCGCCCAAGACAGCAATAGTTTTACAGGTGGAGGCTGCTGACATTTTTTACCTCTTCATCTCATCTGAGGCTCTGCTCTGAGTCTGCATAATAAAGGGAGGATTTGTATGAATTCAATTCAATATAAAACAACTCTCTTACCAATTTGCTTTGTGTACAGGTCTATGGAGTGACAGTGGTGATTTTCCAGTGTCTGTACTAAATAACGCTACTTTAACCTTCATCTTGTGATAGCTTCTGTAACTATCTCTAAAGTTAACAGGTCAGTTTGACCCGTGTCTTAAATCAGCCAAAGAAAATAGCCTCAGAACGGTGTTTAATCATCCAGTTTGTTTGTTGCCTATCAGTTACCTTGTTAGGCTACCTCATGTCTGAAAATATTGGTTTTAATTTTTTTGGCATGGCCTTTCAGGTCCTTTCTCTCCTCAGCATACCTAGCATCTAAAAGAAAATTGTAAATTGAACCTCAAGAGAATTTAGAAAAAAAGGTTATGTTACCTACTATTACTGAGAAGTATTATTACCTATAGTAACACTTTTATATGGAAAGGAACAAAACATTCTTTAGCTATCACCTGTGGCCCTGGGTTGAACCTCAGTGGAAGGAGCTGCACCCATCTCTCCTATACATCCTTGATGGGAGCAAGTATATCAGATGTTGCTCTAGTATGTCTGCTGTAAAATCTAAGGACTAAAAAGGTCTGAAGCAACATTGTTGCCTGAAAAATAGTTCTGCCTGTCGATGCTTGGTCTCGCTGCTTCATCTGTACACTGCAGCAAGAAGGGCACCATTATAAGCATTCAGGTATTCCTCATCACTGTCATTCCAAATGTCACCGTGGACTTTTTTTCCTTCAAGGGCTGTGATAGCCATGATGACTTTTTTTTAGTGACAATGGCATGAACAAATCAAAAAATGAGCAGGTTCGCACCTGTGACCTCATCAGATCTGTCTTTGTCCTCAGGTTGATAATCTATATTATCCTCCTCCTCAGAAAGAGGGTCATCCATATTGCTGTGCTGTTTTATGTCCTCAAAGAAATTATCCAGAGCTTTGCTTTTTATAACTCTTCTTAATTTTGCATGCCATTTGCATGCTGCAAACTGGTGATGTGTACTCTGCAAGTCACCAACTACACTGAGTTGGTCTTATATGACTTGCGTGTCTGTACATTTCTATCTGGATGACCATTTCAATGAAGCAGTAGGTATAAAAAGGGCTGTTTGTTCAGGTTAAGAGACAAACAGGAAAAGAGAGAAGCCCCTAACGTCTCTCTGACAGTGATTGAGATCACAGTGTTTATGATTTTAGTTTTGGGTCTAATTATTGTTTTATAGTGTTATATTATCTGCTTCAATATCTATAATCAAATAAAATGGAATATATATATAATGTGTATGCAGGATATATAATGATTTTTGTTTTTTTGAGTGGTCATGTTGGGCCGCCTGGATCAAAAATGCCAGGACCGATTTTTTTTTCCCAGTCCAGTCCTATTAAAAAGCAGACTTCCATTGCAGGTATAAACACTACCATCAAAATAAAACATTTGTTTAAAATACAGAGGTTTAAAACCAATAACAAAAACAAAATTCCAATATGTAATCATTAAATCTTGTTATAGAGACACAACAGCCACAAAGTGTCTTATATTTATTTGTATATCAGCAATTCTAATTAAAGAGGCATAGCAGAAAAACTTTTATAGACATGACATTCATAGGTGTAGTTAAAGATGCAGAGAAAAAATATGAGTTAAGGTAATGCTATTATGTCCCTCACACCAACATCTTATTTTGAAGATCTTTCACATGTACATAGAACTGAATTTTAAGCTGCACACTAAAATATCTGCTCTGACAACTTCAGCTTGCACAAACAAGGTGAGGTCCTGCTGAGCCTGCACTAATTTCTGCTTTTTGCCTTCTTTTATAAATAAGGACAAAATAACTGAGGAACATCAGAGTAAAGAAAATCTGCTGGCTGAAAACAAAATGCTAAAAAAGCAGAAAGCCGAACTCATCATGGCCTTCAAGAAACAACTGAAGCTAATCGACATTCTCAAAAGGCAAAAGGTACGAGTCATCATGTTACTCTGTTAGTGGATACTGTGCTTAGTTTTTAATCTTAAGGGTTTTTTTTTGTGTGTGCAGATGCATTTTGAAGCTGCTAAGCTGCTGAGCTTCACAGAAGAAGAATTCATGAAGGCTCTAGACTGGGGGAAGTAATAACCACTGAATGTCTCCACTTCTATTTTTTAAAAGCTAAAAAGCTTAACAGTGCCTCACTGTTATTTAAGGATACTTCTTTGTGTTGTAGGCCCCAGTTGTCTCTCAGAACATTGTCAGAAAACTGATAAATAGATTTGGTTTGTCTCTTCAGTTAAACATTGGCAGACTGAGTTGCCACGTCTATTTGGAATGATGTTAACTCAGTGCCTGTCAGCACCTCTTAATAAAAATATGTCCCTGAATCGGTCCCTTGTATCTATACTTCTGTAACTCTACACTGCCCTCTAGTGGCAGATTGGAGGAGAAGCATCTAATCGTTGGCCTCCCAGCCATCATCAGAGAACGCATCAGCCTGACGTGTTTTAAAGTGTTTTCTGAAGTCTTCGTCTAAGTGTTCCAGGTCATCCTCCCGCAGCAAGCCCTGGAAACAAAAACACAAGCGGTCATACACGTGTTTGATCTGAAGCTGCGTAAAATTATTTGTGACTCGTGTATCGCCTCACACCTTAGGCAAGTATCCAAGGAGTTGTGTTGCGTGACGCTTCAGAAGCCTCTGCCTCTCTTCTTCAACGATCTGTCTCCGCAACGCCTCTTTCTGCTCCTCAATCGCTCTTTCTTTAGCCTCCAGCTCCTGGAAGAGTTAAGAGAGTTATCAAAATATCACAAAGCACATCATTAAAAGCATACATTAAGATAAAAAATTATCAAAAAGTAATTTGTACCATGTCGGCCTCCTGCTGTCGTCTTCTGTCCTCTATTAGTTTCTCCACCTCACGTTTGTGTTCAAGCTGCTTCATGCGTCGTTTCTGGGCGTTCATCTGCTCTATACGGTCGTCCTCTGCGAACTTGGCCATCATCATCTTCCTGAAGGCCTCCTCTTCCTCTTTCTCAGCCTGCCTCCACATCTCTTTGAAAGCCAGCTGCTCCTGGAAGGTCTGCTGCATCATCAGCCTCTGTCTGATTTTCTTCTCCATCTCTTCCTGTTACACAAGAGAGTAAGAGCGAGTGTCACCAGTCTGTCACACAGAGAATTAGACAAGCATTCACACCATACAGTCAATTCAAAATCGCAACATAACACACTCTTTTTCCTGTGGAAGGAAGCTGGACAGAGTAAAGCTCCTTACGATTTCTCTCTGCCTGTTAGCCTCTTCTTGCTCTTCCAAATAAAGCTCCTGACGAACGCGCTCCATCTCTTCACGCTGCTGCTGCTCCTCCTCAATCTTCACACAGAGCTGCAGAGGACAGAGACGTTAGTTACAGATGCACTCCGGCATCGTCACCAAAGAGTTAAGAAGCCGAGAGTCTTCACCAATTTATGAAGATGCTCCTTCGCCTCTTCTCTCTCTTTGAGCTTGGCTATCCTGTCCTTCTCCATGTGCTGCTGCTGCATGGCAAACTCCATGATGCGCCGGTTCTCGGCCTCCATCCTTTCTCGCTCCATGCACCTCCACTCGGCCTGCTGTCTCTTGAACTCTTCGATATGCTGCTGAGTGGCTCGGACTTTCTCCAGTTTCAGCTGCCGCTCCCTTTCAGGAAAACATTTCAAAAAGTCACTCATCCTGTGCTACCTCTGCATCCCGTTTAGAAGGAAGCTGTTGTCTGAGACACTTGCTATTGTTTTTTGCAGGTATTTTTTTTAACTAATCATGAAGAGATTATGAATTAGTAGCGACTCACATCTGATCCTCCTCGTAAATCTTCCTGACGATCTCGTCTACCATGAGCTTCTCTTTGAGGAACTCCTCATACGCCTCCTGTCTCCTGCGCTCCCTCTCCATGAGCTGCTGCTCCAGCTCTTTCTGATACTGCACCATCTCCTCCTGGCGCTTCTGCTGCAGCTTCTGCTGCTCAACAGCTGCCCGCTCCTGCTCACTCCTCATCTTGCGACCGTAGTCTGCCTCTTCACGCTAAAAGACACATCATATTTATACAACCTACAGACTTCAGAGCAGCCTTTATATTCTTTGTACTTACCCAAAAGTAGTAGTTTTGGGTGGGGAGAGTTTTGGGTGTTTTCTGTTAAGATTTCCACACTTCAAGAGTATTTGTTATATTCAAAGAAAGTCTGCCTTCAGGACTCACCATTGTCTCAAACCTCATGGCCTCCTGCTCAGCAATCTGTGCGGCTCTGTCCTTGTTCAGGTACGCAGACTTCAGCTTCAACTCCAGCTCTCGAAGCTCCATGCTGAAAAATACACAAAGAAAATATTTAACTGGCAGAAAGTGACAAATGTCGAATGTAAGTGTTTGTTTACTGACCCAGAGCCTCCAGTAAGTCAGGGTAACGAGGTCAGTGTGTGAGTGTACCTGTTCTCTTTGATATACTGCCTCATTTTCTCCTCTTTCTGCTTCTCGTGGTTGATGCGGGCCAGCTCCCTGGCCATTCTCTCTTCCTGTTCAAGCTGCTTTTCCCGGTTAACTCGATCCTCCTCTGCCTGCGAATCAGATTTATTTATCACATTTAAAGCTCAGATAAGAGAAAAGTGTCAGAGGGATATTTTTTAAAGTTTGGATCTAAAATCTGTAGTCAGTTATTGATTATGAAACAAAAGAACTCCTGGCCACAAACATGTGCTGCTGTCTCTCTGTGATCTTTTGTTCTGTATTTCTTTCTAGGGGTAAATATCATATAATTTATATATATATATATAATTTTTTTTTATATATATATTGGATCCATGGACAGTAAACTCCTCACATCTTAATCCAATCAAGACTTGGTCAATACTTTAAAAAGCATGTCTTATTTTGGACTGTAAAGAGTTTAGCTGCAAAGATACTGGTCTGATGTAAAATCAGAAATGGAAAATATATTAGATCTGAAATTGGAGACAAATTTCAATAGGTGAGGCTAAGATGGTCTGGACAGGTGCAGCGGAGGGATATTGGATATACTGGACAAAGGATGTTGAAGATGGAGCTGCTAAGAAGGAGGAAAAGAGGAAGATCTTAGGGGGAATTCATGGCTATAATTAAGGGGGGAGGGTTGGTGCTATGGTGAGTTAGAAGGAGTTGATCCACTGCGGTGCTGGGAACAGTGAAAGAAGAAGATTATACATGTAAATGGAGATGGTCCCAAAATCTCTTATTCTATGCCTTTATACTAGATGTATTCCATTACTTTATTTATGCTGCAAGGAAAAACAACTACTGCTTTATTTAGTTTCATTTGGATACTTTACATGCATTTTAATTAATCCCAGAAGAATTTTATTTAGTTTTTCATTTGAAGTATTTGCTATTACGCTGAAAGGATTTTTCTGATTAAAAAGGTTTGTGCATTTCTTTTTATTTCACCAGATTTCAGAATGAATCCATCTCTCACCTGTAAAAGTGAAAACCAATATATTCAGAAAAAAAAAACCGAATAGAGCGTGCTTAAATGTCAAACGTCACCCCCGAAACAGACACACAAACCTTGAGCAGGGCGCTCTCTATCTGCTTCTCCTTGAGCTCCTGCTGCACCTGTCGCAGATACCTCCTCCTCTCGAAGCCCTCCTCCTCCCTCAGGCTGGCCTGGACCTGCCGCTCTCTGTCCACCCGCTGGGCCTCCTGCTCCCGGTGCTGCTCCTGGACCCGCCGCTGAGCCATTAACCTCTGCTGGTGGCTGTACATCCTGTTACCACTCTGTGCCCACAACAATGACACGGGAGGAGAAAACACGTGACCAGAAACCGGCGTTATGTTAACTTTGAGGTCGTGAACTAGCAGCCAAGCTAACGTTAAATTCGCTTCTAGGATTTACCATGTTTGAGGTTATTCTCCTGGATTCCCGCTTTCTCAACTCAAGCCTTTAACTTTCTTTAACCCAGAAAACTTCGAATGGACTGAAGGCGAATGTTAATCCTCGGTGTTTCTGAGCGGGTCAGTAGCTGCCGCGGGTTACTTCGGTCAGTTGTTTGGCGTTTCGTTGTCCTGGGAACGCTTGGTCTTCCTAAACTGGGCCAATGAGTGAGCGTTGGCAGTGACGTCAGGCCCGGGAAACTCAAACCGGTTTCAGGATGGAGGATTGTTTCCAGGATACACGCCATGAATAACTGACGCACTTCTGAAGGCAGGTGAATGTTTATCACAGTATTAACAATGTGTCTAATAAATTGTCAGAAGAAAAGCACAATAGATTCCACGTTAATATTTGATGTAAGAATACCTTTGCTATCAGTTTAGAGTTTTCGTTTTCAGTTGTTTTCAGCTGAGGTTAGCTTTAGGAGATGCATTGCTTTTTCCATTTTAGCTTCTAATATTTTTATTTAGTTTCATTAATTTTTGATTAGGTCTCGGAACACTGAACAGTAGTACCAACAACAACTAGTAGCGAGGTCTCATTACCACAGGAGGCTGCTGCTACAAGCACTAGCTGTAGAGAAGTGAGGAAGAGATGAGAACCATAAATGCCAGGGCCAATTTTTTGTCTCAGTCCAGCCCTGCTCATAGTAACAAGTCTGACTACAAATGTTTTTCTTTAGGAGGAAAACTAAAAAGTATGTCTTTTTAGTTTTCCTCCTAAAGAAATCTCACCACTAGCTTCCTTCTTTGCTCAAGAAGAAAAAAAAGATCAAAATACACCTCTTTTAATCAAGGAAATATGTGGCCAACAAACAAATCACACTCAAACTGTCTTGTATTAAAGATTTATTTACATAACAAAGAAGAGGAACACTTGGATCTAAGCCCAGAATGTTGATCAGAGGAAAATGTGTTCTAAGGGGAACCATAGTTTTATAGGAATGTATTAAAAACAGGTTGGATGGGGGTACATTTATAGCGCCTTAATAGACATAGATGCATTTACAAACTTGCTGTACTGTACAAGTGAAAGATCTTTTTTTGTTTTTTTGTTTTTTAAACAAACCTTCTGACATTTCAAGCCAAGTAAAACAAACACACAGTATTGTAAAAAAATCTTTCCAGATCCCCCCCCCCAGTAATTGTAAATCAAAACCCATCTAGTACCTAATCCAAAGGTATTTATTTTATAAGCTGGAACTGTCAACTCAGTTAACACAGTGAAATCTACCTAATCTTTCACTCAATGCTAAAATATTCAGGTTATGTTCACCTTTAAAACGCAAACCTTTCACAGAGCTGAGATCACTTTCCATGTGGGTAGGGAACCCCCCCCCAAAAAAACAAAAAAACAAAAAAACATTCCACATATTTTGCTAATGGTTTAAATCAGATGTCTTAGTGTTGTTAAACTTACTTAAAACCAGCAGGTGATCAAGGTAAATATGTGCTACATCACTTTAACATTTTTACACTTGCTGCACAGCAACCTGACTCTATATAAAGGGAGCAGCTTTGAGGTTCATTACAAATAAAAAATGAAAGGAAATAAAAAGCACATACACAATAGTAGCAACCACACATTAAAAACCCAAAACACTTTGACTGCCTCTCACTTCCTTGATCCTCTTCCTCCTATCCTAATTAATAAAAACACCAGGAAAAGCTATGGATGGGCCCAAGCTGCTTAAACATTCAGTAATTACAATATTTTTTCAGGCAAACTTTTAGGACTACATGCAGAATTTAGGTATAAGTAATTTGAGCATTCTGTGCCGTGAAGTGGGATTTCTTTTTAAGGAAATCTGGTGGTCTTGACAAATTTATGTGTCAAGATTTTTTGACAATCACTGCCCTCTTTAGGCCAGCAGGGCGTCAGACACTTTGTGTGTTGAGAGGATCTTACAAAAAAAATCAAAAATATTTAGTGGGAATACTCCTGATCAATTTTGCAGGGTAAATGAAACTTTACTGGATCTACTTTTTTTTTTTTAATTCACAAATATAAAGACGTTTTACATCTAGTTTCCATTTAACTGTCAGGAATCCGCAAAACAGCCAAAGCAACATCATAAATTTGATGTCTGTAAGAGAAACACTGGTGAGGTGTTTTCTGAATAACGGGAAGTCATTGTTTAGTTAGTCTGTACAGGTTTAATCTGACTGAGGCTGCTGGTCCACAGTCGCACTCTCTGCCGCAGACACAGAGTCGGGACGCTGATCTTCCTCATCTCTGCTCTCTGAGATCTCGTCACAGAGGTCAGATGTGCAGGAAGACGGTAAAGTGGGCAGCACCGACGTCTTTGAGTCACCTTCAGAGGAAGCCTGGATAACACTTGTTCCTGTGGAAATCTCATTCTGATCTCCTGCTGGTAACGGCGACTCTAATTCTGGTTTGTCAATAGTGCTGATGGCTACACCTCCAGATGAGACACATTCAGCTTGTTTCGGGTCCGTTTCCTTTGGTTTTTGAGCAGGTGAGGATGTCAAGACGTACACTTGGACTTTGGCTGGCTGCCCCACGATGAGCTGCCTGTGTGAAGGGAAGAGGGCGGCATTATAACGACGAACTTCAGATTGACGTTCAGCTAGCATGCATTTTCTACCAACAATTTTAAAAAACATGAACCTACTCATTTACAGTTATCTATTAGGGGTGCAACGATACACAAAATTCACGGTTC